GCACACACACACACACACACACACACACACACACACACACACACACACACACATACACATACACACATCTTTTGAAAAGGCTCTTGTTTCTGTTTCTTAGTGGAACAGTTTTTCAAATGTCTGTATTCAGTGACTCCTTTTCCTACAGCAGCTGAGACTATTGTATTTATGCCTGTTCTTGCCAAATATCTTGAGTAATTTCTTTTCAGAAGTTTTCCATAGAGCTCCTTGAATCTACTCTCTGGTGGGAATCTGAATAACTTCTATTATATTTTAAAATTTTCTCCAAATGGTAGTTGGGAAATTCTCTTCTGGATAACACTTCAGATATGATATGTGTGAAAATCTGTCCTTGTTCTCTGCACAGCACCTGGGTGTCCTACAGCTCAGTTCTCACATTCCCAGGGAGTTACAACACACTACCAGTTAAGCTGTCAGTCCTGCACCCTGCCTTTGCTATCAGTGGTAGCTGCAATCTTGTGTTTCCACCTTAATTTCTGACCAACCATTGAAGGGTTTCCACACTCTTCTTTCATTTAATATTTTGGCAAAATGATTCTCAAAATCCAGAAGGATAATTTCCTTAGTTTCACTGATTGAGCAGCCACATAATTAAGTGTGCAATCAGCATTTGTAAGGGTCCTCCACACTGTCCAATTGAGTCTGGGTGTACTTGTCGTCTGGCACATGGATGTACCCATTGCCTTAGAAACACTTCACATTCTACCAACTTAAGGTTTTTCATGGAGGTCTTGTGATACAATATGATTTAATAATTACTGGCTATTGGTGATTAAAATCAACTTTTTTGGAAACCCTGCCCACAACAGAGTGGGAGCTGAACTTCAGCCTCTAATTTCCCTGACAACTAGTTGCCAGTTTGAAGTGATCTTAGGAATGACCAAGTGAACATAGCCACAACTCAATTTGGTTGCACAAACGAAAGAGGGCTGGCTTATAGTTCAGTTTTACTTACCTACTATGCACAAAAGCCAACTTTGATCTCCAGCACTACATAAATGGGGTGTGACTTTCCTATCCTGTCTACTACTCAATACATTACAAAGATTTTATTTATTTATTTAATTAATTGTGTGTGTGTGTGGGTGGGTGTGTGGGTGGGTGTGTGTGTGTGTGCAGATGCATGTGCTTATGTGTGTGAGTACATGGGTGTGTACATGGGAGGTGGAGAACAACCTTGGGTGTCATCCTTAGGAATTCCATCCACCTCCTTTGAGACAGGTTCTCTAACTAGGTTACTGACTAGGTAACCTGGCTGGCCAAGGAGACCCAGGGATTCTTCTGTTTGCATCTTCCTCGAACTGGGATTGCAAATATGTGCCACTATACCATACAGCATCTCGAGAACTGGGATTACAAATGTGTACCATTATATCGTCCAGCAAGTTTATATGGATTCTGGGGGTCAGGCTTGGGTTCCTCCTCCTTACAAGGCAAACACTAAACCAACTGAACCAATCTCCAAATCTCAGCTACAAGGACTTTCTTGGGAACAAGGGGCAAAGACTAATTGCCTATTCCTCTTGTGTGACATCTGTATTCACTGTTCAGGAAGGGATTTCTCCCCATTCTTGGAAGGATGCCTGGCTTGATCTATCCAACCCATGGGTGGTATAAGAAATATCTCAACTTCATCAGAACAGTAATATTGTTATGATAAGATATAATAGTGTTTATTCACAATAGAATTAGGTCCTGAGGCTTTTACTCCCCATTTGGAATATGTTGGCATTGGTCCACAACGAAAGGTAATTGGTTTATGTGACAATTAGAAACTGAAATGGATATTTTTTTTACTTTAAGGTAAACT